TAAATGTATATACATATTTCCTTTTCTATATTCATTGATTCAAATTAATTAAATTTCATGTTCATAAATCAATTTGATTGTTCTCGTACAATTTAATTATTTATTTGCGTGCATGTGTTAATAATTAATATTCAATTAAATGTATATTTAAAAACGAAAAGTTAGGTACCATTGAAATAATTAAATTGCAGTAGGGCTAAAATCGTCCAGAAAATGATTCTCGCTTAATATGATATTTAATATATTATAAATTAGATTTTTAGTAACTTTTGATAAATATTGATAAAACATACGGTTGAAAAACTAATAAAAATTATGAATTCTATAAAATATGTCTTTCTATATATAAAAAGTGTCTATTTAAAACTAATGGAATTTGTTGTTTTAATGGATTATGTAACTGAATTTCTTGTTTTAAACAGGCAGCTGCACATTCTTTTAGTGTTTTTATCATAACTTTGTATTCCGATATTCGATTGAGGCGATTCAAAATGCGTTAGAAAGCTAACCCGTCTGGCTACAACTTTGATTCAAACATCATTCTCCAATTCGATCACTTTCTATGCCAAAAATATGTCTCAATATAACGGATTATGTAACGAAATTTTTTATTTTAAACAGACAGTTGCACCTTCCTTTAGTTTTTTATCATAACTTTGTATCATTCTCTAATTGGATCACTTTCTATGCCAAAAATAGGTCTCAATATAACGGACTATGTAACAAAATTTCTTATTTTAAACAGGCAGCTGCACATTCTTTCAGTGTTTTTATTATAACTTTGTATTCTGATATCCGATTGAGGTGATTCAAAATGAGTTGAAAAGATAACTCATCTGGCTACAACTTTGATTCAGACATCATTCTCCAATTCGATTACTTTATATGACAAAAATATGTCTCAATATAACGGACTATGTAACAGAATTTCTTGTTTTAAACAGGCAGCTGCACCTTCCTTCAGTGTTTTTATCATAATTTTGTATTTCGATATCCGATTGAGACAATTCAAAA